TTTGTATGTATGAATTAGCGATGCGAGAGAGAGAGAGAGAGAGAGAGAGAGAGAGAGAGAGAGAGAGAGAGTTGATCAAGATTTAAACTTTTCACATCTCATTATTATATGATTATATTGATAGTTATAAGAATAATTGAGATGTATTTACCTTTTTACCTGGTAAACGGATAATTATTATTGTATAATATCATATCATTTATATCAAATATCAAATCATATTTGACCAAAAAAAAAACTAAAAAGAGTTTGGATTTTTTTTTCAACCTGCTGTTCCGTTATATATAATTTCTTTATTTTTATATTATTTGTGATATTCATTTCATTCTTGTAATATTTTTTGTTGAATTTTTTTGTTTTGTAAAAGGGGAGAAATATGATTATATACAGAGATTATAATAAATAATAATTATAGTTTGATTTATCCATTTGTTTCTATCCGATTTGATTACATCATTCATTCATTCATTCGATTTTTTTCTGCGAGTTTTTTTGTTCAGCGAGATTTGAATTTTTTTCCGGTTCTCTTGATGATTATGATGATGATTTTGTAATATATAATTTACACACATTCACAAGTCTTTTTTTAATATTTTTGTTTTTCAAAGTTTTTTTTATTTGGATTTTGTCAAAACCAAATCACATTTGTTTTTCTTGTTTGATTTGGAGAATAGAAAAAAGTGTGACCAAATTTGAATTGAAAATTTATGTAAAAAAAAGAAAGATTTTAGGAGATTTTTTTTTTGATTCTCAAAAACAAAAAACTGTCAAAAACATTCATATTGATTTTGTATTATAAAATAAATTATGGAAAATTGAAACGAAAATTCAAGTTTTTCATTTAATTCTTTTGAAATCCGATTCATTGATTTTTGTTTGTTTTGTTTGTTTGGTGAAAACAACAACAACAACAACACGAGAATCTCAAATTGCCAAAATATTCAAACATTTGAATCATACACACTTTGTTTGATTTGTTGTTGTTGTTGATCAGATAATCGTTATTGCTAACGATGTAATTTGTTCAAAACGACTACGATTATTATTGATGATGTCGTCTGTCGCCAAATGATGATGATACTTATTCGTTCGCACACACACACACACCACACTTACTTTCAAAAGCAAAGAAACATTGATTTTTATCTTTCAAGATCAAATGTGATGTGATGTTCGCTGTTGATGATGATATCTTCGTTGTCTCGTTTTCTCAAAATGTGAAGTTAGCAAGTGTGCGATGAGGACATTATTATTTCAAGGTTAACATCGCCATTGATAACCATCATTTCCATTTGATAAACAGTGGCGGCCAGTAAAATTTTTTCTCCCTTAAATCATCATCAACAACATATATCACCATGTTTGAATCTCTTATCACCATCATCATCATCATCAATTGGGATGCTTCTTTCTTNCACACACACACCACACTTACTTTCAAAAGCAAAGAAAAAACATTGATTTTTATCTTTCAAGATCAAATGTGATGTGTGATGTTCGCTGTTGATGATGATATCTTCGTTGTCTCGTTTTCTCAAAATGTGAAGTTAGCAAGTGTGCGATGAGGACATTATTATTTCAAGGTTAACATCGCCATTGATAACCATCATTTCCATTTGATAAACAGTGGCGGCCAGTAAAATTTTTTCTCCCTTAAATCATCATCAACAACATATATCACCATGTTTGAATCTCTTATCACCATCATCATCATCATCAATTGGGATGCTTCTTTCTTGCAAACATCCAGATCCTATAAAGCAAAGTAAAAAAAAAACAGCAATTTTTCAAATGAAAAAACCTCTTTCTTTCGTTGATTTTCATTGGCTGTCAGCATCATCATTGTCGTTTTAAAATTTTGTTTGTTTTTTAAACCAACATCCACCTATATAGCCTGGAAATGAAATATAGCCGCATTCTCTTTTTGTTTGAAATTTAAAAAAATAACTTTTCTAAAAAACGACAACGACCAAAACAAACCAAGCAAACAAACATAACTGTGTTTGAATGAAGAGAGAAAAAAGAGAAACGACAGAAAAGACAGTGGTGAATTGTGTAAAGCCCATTTTTTTGAAAATTTTTTTTCAATTTTTTGAAGAGTTGAAATATAGCTACTGGGCTACTGGCTGATAGATGGATGCTTCAAGCCAGCCCATTGATGTAACCCGAAAAGCATCACACCAAAGCACCCAGAAAGAGAGAGAGCGAAGAGAAGAGAAGAGAAAACCGTTTTTTTATTTTTTAAAAAGTTTTTCATTTTTCAACCAACAAAAAACTTTGTTTTGTTTTTCTCGCAGCTCAACCTAAACATCATCATATTTTTAACAAACAAACAAAAAATTTTCGAGTCGACTCAAATCAAGTTTGATTCAATTTTCATTGAAAAAATGAAAAAAAAATTGGAAAAACTTTTCATCATCGTCAACAACAACAACAACAACAATAACCGAAAATACCCGAAAAATTTTGCTGTGTTCGTTGTTGTTTTTCCTACGNGCTACTGGGCTACTGGCTGATAGATGGATGCTTCAAGCCAGCCCATTGATGTAACCCGAAAAGCATCACACCAAAAACACCCAGAAAGAAAGAGCGAAGAAAAGAGAAGAGAAAACCGTTTTTTATTTTTTAAAAAGTTTTTCATTTTTCAACCAACAAAAAACTTTGTTTTGTTTTTCTCGCAGCTCAACCTAAACATCATCATATTTTTAACAACAAACAAAAAATTTTCGAGTCGACTCAAATCGAGTTTGAATTCAATTTTATTTCAATGGAAAAAATGAAAAACTTTTCAACAACAACAACAATAACCGAAAAATACCCGAAAAAATTTTGCTGTGTTCGTCGTCGTTGTTGTTGTTGTTGTTTTCCTACGATGATGATGACCATGTTCCCCACCCTATGTGTGTGTATACTGTGTTAACTATGTACATTGTGGAACAATCTACTTTGCGAAAAACCAGAAAAAAATGAAATGAAAATTTTTTGGAGAATTTTTTTTTTTGAAATTTTCATTTCATTTTCAATTATATAGAATTTACAGTTTTGAAGAATCCTTGTATCCACCAGCTCTCTATATATATAGTTTCTTCAAAAAAAAAATGAAAAAAGATTCAATGGGCGCCGACGCCTTCTATGTTGATGGCTGGAATGAACTGAAAAATTCCACTGTATGTGTGTGTTTTCTGTATGCATCATATACACAAGGGAATGGAATAGAATATACACACTTTATAAAATTGGAAAATTTTTTTTTCTTCTATGTTTTCCATTGAAAATGAATGAAGAAAATTTAATTCAATAATTTTCATTTTGTTTGTGGAAAAAAAATTCTTGCTGCGTTCTTTCGTTCTGTGATAACAAACTTTGTGTTTGTGTGTGTAAGGACTCATCCATTCTATATATNATTGATGTCGTCATTTTTGAAATGTTTTTCGTAAGGTAGAAAAAAACGACGAAAACAACAACAACAAAATCCTATGTTCCAGAAAATTACTAGTGTAGCGGTGTACTAGTGTTTGCGTTTAGCTCACTAGTCACTCGCTCATGTTTGACAATCAAATAAAAGTCAGTCAGATTTCATACTCTGAACACGCCGCATCATAACCTTCTACAATTCACCACATTTGGTGACCGCGGACGTTGAAACTTTGAAAAAATAAAATTTAATTTTGTGATTTCATTTAAGCAAAATTAAAATAATTAATAATCATGGATATGTCTAAAAATGACTATCAAGATCAATCGTTATCGAGTGAAGATGATGAAGAATTAATTATTTTGGAATCATTATTGAACTTGGTAAAACGAATGAATGCTTATCTTTCAAAGATGGAGGAGAAATTGGAAAATGACTCCGGTAATGTTATACAAAATTTTGATGATGAATTACCGAAAACAATTCAAAATAAAAATAATGTGAACGAAAATTCGAAAATCAAAGTACGACGTAATCGTAAACAAAGAAATTTGGTTAATCGTTTACGAAAATCATCTCGTTCATCGAATTCTAATAAATATAGACCGAGATTTAATCCTAATAATGGTCCTTGCCGCTTTTCTCGTTTTCGTTTAAGAGACAAAGCATATCAATGTAATAATTGGCGACATCGTAAATTTGGTATAAAGAAGAAGAAGAAGAAAATTCAAAAATCAAATGTCGTATCATTTAATCGAGTATTATCAATCAATTATGGTAAAAATTTTCGGCTTTCTATCTTTAACAAAAGTTCGAAAAAATGGATCCTAATCGATACCGAATCATTTGTATTCTTATGGCCAAAAATGTATCAAATTATTATTTCAAAACCGGTTAAGTACGAAGTAAAAATGGTAAACGGTACGATTATTAAAAATTATGGAGAAACTATTACCTGAACAGATTTAGGCTTGCGTCGATCATTTTTGTCTTTATTTTGTCGTTGCCGATATTTTGATTATAAAAAATTTGTAAATTTCTATCAAAAAAATTCTAAATTTCTATCAAAATTTGTATTTTTTTTTTTCAATTTGATTTTTTTTTCTATCTGATGTATATTTTTTTTTTCAATCTTATGTATTTTTCATTTTTTTTTCTAAATTGTATTAATTGTTAATCCTCCGGATTAAAAGGAGGGAGATATGTAGCGGTGTACTAGTGTTTGCGTTTAGCTCACTAGTCACTCGCTCATGTTTGACAATCAAATAAAAGTCAGTCAGATTTCATACTCTGAACACGCCGCATCATAACCTTCTACAATTCACCACACTAGTCTATTTTTGATGCTGGATGTTGGTCAGCTGCTCATGCTGAGTCCATTTTCAAAACACATAAAGCACACATCATGATGATGTTGGAACCNCATTTTTCAACCAACAAAAAACTTTGTTTTGTTTTTCTCGCAGCTCAACCTAAACATCATCATATTTTTAACAACAACAAAATAAAAATTTCGAGTCGACTCCAATCGAGTTTGAATTGAATTTTCATTGAATGAAAAAAATGAAAAACTTTTCAACAACAACAACAACAATAACCGAAAAATACCCGAAAAATTTTTGCTGTGTTCGTTGTTGTTGTTGTTGTTTTTCTACGATGATGTTCCCCACCCTATTTGAGCTTTGTGTATTTTTGCTATTGTGGAACAATCTACTTTGTGAAACCAGAAAATGAAATGAAAATTTTTTTGAAGAAAATTTCACTCTTGAAACTCTATATTTTCATTTTCATCGTGAAAATTTTAAAATTTTCATTTTCATTTTCATTTCTCTTTTCGATTATATAGAATTTACAGTTTTGAAGAATACCAGCCAGCTATCCACAAACTCTCTCTCTCTATATATATAGTATCTTCCCAAAAAAAAATGAAAAAAGATTCAATGGGCGCCGACGCCTTCTGTATGTTGAACTGAAAAATTCCACTATGTGTGCATCATTATACACAAGGGAATGGAATATACACACTTTATAAAATTGGAAAAAAATTTTCTGTTTTTTTTGGTTTCTATGTTTTTCTGAAGAAAATTTAATTCAATAATTTTTTTTTCATTTGGAGAAAAACAAAATTCTTGCTGCGTTCTTTCTTTTTCTTTCTTTCTGATAACAAACTTTGTGTTATGTTTGTTTGGAGTGTATGGACTCATCCATTCTCTATATATCGTTTGGTGGTTGCCAAAAACGACTATTTTTCCATCATCACTATACAAAAATTGATCAAAAAAATAGATTTCCTTTTGATGATTGAAATGGGAAAAAAACTTTTATTTTCGAGAAAAATTTTCAAGTTTTTTGGAACAGAAATGTTCCAAAAAATTAACATTGATGTCGTCATTTTGAAATGTTTTTTTTTGTATGGTAAAACCAAAAACGACGAAACAAAATCCTGTGTTCCAGAAAATTACTAGTCTATTTTTGATGCTGGATGTTGGTCAGCTGCTCATGCTGAGTCCATTTTCAAAACACATAAAGCACACATCATGATGATGTTGGAACCAGAGAAAAAAAACACCCATTAATAAACTAGAGATGTGGAGGGGGAGAGGTATTTCCCCCTCGTATGATGATCATCTTGGATATGCCAGAAAAAAACCAGAACAACAACCAAAACCAGAAAAATAAAAAAACGTTTTTTTTCATTTTTGAAAAAAAAACTAAATCAAAATTCCAGCTTGCGCAGTTCACAATAATACACACATTTATTAATGACAATTGAACTTTTTTTTATTTTATTTTGTTCACGGTATACGCGTGGTGGACCATAGGTCCAGCAAGCTATTCAGCCAGCTTGCGCAACAATATTTTTACTGTTGTTGTTGTTGTTGTTGGCACAAGACACATTAATTTTCTCTTACTCTATGACCGTCGTTTTTTTTCGATGATGATGATGATGATCATCATGGTACTTTTCGACAATGATGATGATGATGACCTAATCGTTGTTTTTTTTTGGTGGAGTTCGACCAATTTATTGACCAACATTTGGTTGCACGAAACATTTGTATTTCGTTTTTTTTCTTATATTTGGGTGAAAACCAAAATTCTGTGAATGAAAAAACATACAACTTAATTTCAAAGTAATTCAATCGATGTTGATGATGATCTTTGCTGGAAACAAAAAGATGTTTTTTTGTTTTCTGGGGCAGCAATCTTTGATGACCAATAATGAATGCAATTGATGTCTGCTCTTGTTTTTTCGATTTCGATTTTGGTTTTTTCTTTTTAGGATTTTTTTTCGGTTTTTACAAAACGAATCGATGGGTAATAAATCAAGATGAAAGTTGAAAAACAAAAATTTCAGCTGAATAAATATCATATTGGTTGCTAAGAGTGTTAATAGTGACATAATCGCCTCTTTTTTTTCTGGATCTTTTTTAGAAAATTGTTCCAAATAAAATAAAAAAAAAATGAAACTAAAAAAAGAAAATCGGACACGAACCATACGAGTGTGATATAGACTTTTATATGTATGTGTTGTTTGTTTGCCTCGTGTTTTTTTTTCTCATTCAAGTACACGTGCTTCATAATATGGAAAAAAAGAAGCATCATCATTATATTGTTTGATCCATATGTGTTCCACGGTGTGTTTATTTGGTTCTCATTGCGTTTCTTTTTTTGTTGAAAGAAAAAAAAACATCTCAACAATGATCATGTTGTTTTGATTGTTTGTTAAAAGAAAAAAAAAACATCTCAACAATGATCATCTTGTTTTGATTGTTTGTTAAAAGAAAAAAAAAACATCTTGAGAATTTACTTTTAATTGGTTCAAAACAATCGATAAAAAAAACATTGGATGCAATGGAAACCATCTGCTTTTGATTTTTCATTTTTCCAATTTTTAAAATCAATAAACTCTATAAACTAACGAATATTTGTAGAGGCGTTTTGCATTGATTTGAATCAAAAATCATCATCATAATCATAATTTGATAATTAATTATAATCAGTTCCTAGGAATAATGTTGAGTAATGTTGTTTGTTGACAATTTTAAGGTTATTGCCTTTGTCAAATAGTTAAAAAACAATAAGAATAATGTATTTTTTCTGTGAGGGAAGAAGGGGAGTAAATATGAATTCAATATGAATAATTAGAATTATAATGATTATCGTTTCATGATAAATTTTCATTCATTCATTTGAAATTCACGATAATTTCAATTGAATTTTTGAATATTATTACCAGAGTTACAATGAAAAAAAAATACTACAAAACTCCTAAAAAAATGTTGAAATTTCTCTTTCTTGATCACAAAAAAAACAATTAGCCTAATTGGCCAGAGTAGTTTGTTGAAAATGTACAATGTTTTCGTCTCTCTCTCTCTCTCTGTATACAGAATCGGATTCTCAGTTTAAAGTTGGAAAATTTCTTTCTGGAAATTTTCCGAATTAAATTTTTTGTTTTGTTTTTTAGTTTCAAACTAACAAGACTAACAAGGTTTCATCATGAAAAAAGTCATGCAATTTTCGGTTATCATTTTGGTTATTATCTATTCTATTTCTACTCAACTCTACTCAACTACGTCAAATTGGTCCAGCCGTCCATTTAGCTTATTATTCGGTTTTTTTTGTTGATCAATAAGTTTGTCAGGTTGATATGGTTATTTTTTTGCACATTGTTACCGGGTATATACACCGAGAATGAAAACCGGGATTTAATCATTATTCTAATCCGGTATTTGTGTGTGTGTTTTCACTAATAATTAATTATCGGTCTAGCCATTTAATGATGATTATCATTTTCGTCACA